TCTTTCTCTCTCTCTCTGGTTTGTCACTTTTTGTTTCTTTAAAATTGGGATTTGCACTTATGAGGATCTCTGACTTGTTTGGATCCGCTTTCCCCCCCCCCCTTCTCTGTCTCTCTGTCTCTCTAGTTTCTCACTGCTTAACGAATTCAGTTTTCTGATCTTTGCTTTTGTTCCACACATCCTCTGTAATTCATTTGATATATAATATTCTCTATTTTCACACGAGGAATTTCAACCTTATAAATTAGGTTCAGATTGGAGGATGGTCCTGTTGGACTTGAGGAACCATGGGAAATCAGCTGAAATCGGAGGATTTGATCCTCCACATACCATGAAGAGTGCTGCTTTAGATGTTGCAAATTTGTTGAAATCAAAAAGTTGGTCATGGCCGGATGTTGTAATCGGTCACTCTATGGGTGGAAAAATAGCCCTTCAATTTGCAGAGAGCTGCGCTCAAGGAGACTATGGAGAATCAGCCACTTTACCCGAACAGGTAAATCTTTCTTTTATTATATTTTGAATTTTTATCATCCAGCCCAATTGTTTTCTTTGATTTGAATTGTTAATTCCTATATTGGACTAGTCTGATTGTGTTGAATTTAGATTTTGAGGTTGCTGCAAAAAAAATTTGCAAAGGTGAGTAGTAATTTCATGTTAGACTTGTTTGTGTTAATGAAGCTGTCAAAGTGTTTAGCAGATTACTAATGAAATTTGGGGGTTTTTGTGAATAGCCATGCACTGGCTCTGCTATGTCTGGTGTATTTTGATCATTTTTACAACCATTTTCTAAAAATTGAGATTCAAAGACAATAAAAATGAACGAAAGAATAGCTTTCATTGTGCCTTTAGGATTGCAGATCCAAGGAATCTGAATCACTCTTTGTTGAATTGTTTGCTCAGATGCCAAGTCCACTTTATTGTTCTTTGGTGAAACCCACTGTTATAGTATATCATTGTTTCTTTTTCTTGATAAAAGTTGACTGATTGCGCATCATATAGCTTCCATTTTGGGCTTTGACCCCACAGGCTGTGTCTTTCTCTTCGAATACTTACAGGCTGAACATGAGACTGCCACTGGTAGTTTCTGGTCATCCTTTTATCATGTCCAATCAAAAGCAGTAAGACAAAACGCATATGAAGATTTGTTAATAAATGAGACAAAAAAGCCTATTCTTGTAAATCAATTTTATATCCTTATAAGTATAAAAAATTAGCATCATGGTGAGGCATTTCATTTCGTTATTATTGCTATTTTTTTGTCTTAAGTTGTAGCCTTGAGTACAAAAACTAAGAAGGTTTCATCAAATTGATACAATTTGCAACCTTTTGCCACTTAAAGAACAATATGAGACTACGTCAATTAGCTACAGGGCCGAAGTTCTTTATGATCAATCCCCTGTTTCCATGCACAGTCACTATCCTCATGTAAGGTTTATATTAATCAATTGGCTTATTAGAGTTTTACTTAGTGCATTTTCTTTTTCTCTTACAGCCTTTTTTCCTGTGAAGGTGCTTGCAATTGGAAGTGTTAACTTCTAAAAAATTAGTAATTGGCATTCTTTGTGTTATTCCTCAAAAACACATGTATTTTCCGTAAGTGGAAAGAGTTTAAATCTTTTGTGCAATCAATGTTGCGAGTATTGGAAGATTCGATTGCAATCTTTTGAACAATAAAGGAGCAAAGGTTGGTTTATTGAAATATTGTAAGATATTCAAGATAAATATTTGAATAGAAGACATCCTCTATTTGGAAGCGGTCCAATGCCTTCTCTAACCCCTAACCATTTGATAATTAAGAATCGAATGAGCGAAGCAGGACTTTATAAAGCTACAGCCTCACCAGATTGGTAAATGACCGATTGAGGAGGCTATGAGCATCATTAGACTCAAAAGTATACATTACACATATCATCAGCTGCATAATGCTAGTGGTTATTAAATGCCATTACGTAGTCCATAAAATTGCATCCTTAATACTTAGAGAAACTACTGTCATAAGAGCCATTGCACCTTGATAAATATTTTTTTCAGTCGTCATTGACAAAGAAGCACATGTATGACAACTTGAAAGCCTGAACTCAACAACGATGTCACAATTCTACAATGACATGCCTGTAGGAAATGCATGCATGCTTTAAATCGAAAATCTAAAGAGCAATTGTAGTGTGAAATATAACAATTCATACTTCATAATTTCTTCATGAATCTGTGGGCCGACATATTGGGATTCTTGTCCTTCAAATTTGGCTGTTGAAATCAGCCTTTTCTCATTTTTTCCACTGAACTACAGAGATTTTGGTCCCTTTTTTGGTAATATTGGCCTAAGTCTGGCCAAAAAATGCCTGATATTGGGCAACAAGTAAAATAGCAAATGAACAAAAAATACAGTAGAAAGCAGCTGGTTTTGGAACATGACCTGATTGAATTTAACGTTAACTAACACCCATTTTAATGGACAAAATTCTGGCCTTTCAAGTTCGAAACTCGGTCTACCATTGGACCATAATTCCGAATTTTGTCTAATTGTTTATTACTTTTGTTTGCCGAACTTCAAAATCAAATTCCAATTTTCTGCTGAATGGTATGAAAAGAAATGATATTTGGCAACTTGACCATTATGCTTGTCTTCTTGCAAACATTGTGGAATTCTTTCAATGGGAAAATTCTCAGAAAAGGTGTTTGATCCTTGATGCAGAACAGCTGTGGGTGCTAGACTCTGTTCCTGGAGAGGTGAATCCAAGTGATGGCGAAGTGGAAAATGTACTTCGCACTCTCCAAAGCATTCCAGTTCCAATACCATCGAGAAGGTAATTTTAAGAGAAACAATTATATTCAATGTAAATTTGACAAGTTTTTGATGATCCTGGTGTGGTTAAAATTTTGGATAAGTGCATTAATATCCCATTGGCTTATTTAAAAACATTGTTTATTGGAGTCATCAGTGTCTTATGAAATAATGGACGATGATAGAGAAAATAGGATCTACAATAACAGGAGAGGACTGATTGGTGGCTCTCATTCCGCTTTTCAGTGTCCGTCATCTCCCTGGATGGAGATGAACCCAAGGGACTATGGTTTGCAACAGTCATTGAGATTGCAAACCATAGTTTGGCTGAAGCATGGTCTTCGCCAAGTCCCCAATCTCCAAGGGTTCTAAGGCCTAAAAGAATGAAAACGCCTAACCTCCCAATGGGTGGATAATTTTCCAAACTGACTAGAGGTCTTATTTTGGCTGACAAAATTCAACAAATTTTAGACTAGTTCAGTACAAAAGTGGGACAAGACTAAACAAATTGGAAAAAGTTTACCTGAAGTGGCCCAAAGTTTGATCTGAATATAGGGCTATTCTTATTGCAGCTTTACCCAATTTTTGCATTGTCTGGTAGGACCAGTTTTTGCTACGTTTTCCTGAGATTCTGGGGGGCTTAGATTTTTTATTACATTAGACATCTTCAATTCAGTCATGTTAGTGTGAGCATTGTCTGGCCAAATTAGGTGGCTCGTTGATCACATGGTTAAGCTTGGTTTCTCCAAGGCAATTTCTGAGTGGATAGGGACTAATCTGAAGAAAGCAGGCTCATCAGGCGAACAAATGGTCTGGTCCTTCGATCTCAATGGTGCTGTGGAAATGTTCAACTCTTACTGGTAATTATTACGTTTTTAGCGTACTGTATTAATAGTTAATCTTTTTATGAACATTTAAGGAGAGGACCGAATGATTGTCGTTTCAGTTTTGAGTTTTTGATTTGCCAGTGGTAAAAAACAAATGCCCAAGTATATCCACTAATGATATGAAATGGGCAATTTCTGGATAAGTGATGGGCTTCTTTTCTGCTCTTCTTTGCTTCTTGTACTTCACCCTTAACCTTCACTTGGATGCATTAGAAATTGATCGTGAAAAACATATGTTTCGCACTTGTACCATGAAATTTGGGGATTCATTGGGTCTTTTGCTTCGGTTGGAAATGCAGGAAAGAGAGTTATTGGCCTCTATTGGAAAACCCACCTCAGGGTTTGGAGATTAAAGTGGTGCGTGCAGAGAAGAGCGATAGGTGGACTCCTAATGTGCTCCACCAAATGGAGAACCTTGTTAGCAAAGGAGAGGAGCAAGGCAAGGGGAATGTCTCCTATCATATTCTCAAAGATGCAGGTCACTGGGTCCATGTTGACAATCCGAAGGGGCTGATTGATATCATGGCCCCCCATCTAGAATCTCTATCAAAGCCTTGAGCTTGGCTAGTTTTTTGCCATTCTTAAGTAAAACTTTGATTGCTTGTGGA